TTTATACAAATTAAATAAAAATGATTAATTTATTTTAAGTACTCCGACTATACTGAAATTACAGTATTATAATATTTGATAAACGACTATTAACTATAAATAAGAAATGATTAAACAAGAAGTAAATAATATATGAATGGCACCAAGAAAAATCCGGACTTCGATCATATAAATTTTATATGAACCAAGTTTGGTTTTCCCTCAGTGTCATCTATATAAAAAAATAAAATAAGTGTTAGCTTACCTTTGAATAACCTATTGAAATAGCAATTAAATCAATACAAAAAAATTTGAATGTAAACAATTAAGTGTTAACTTATCTTTGAATAATTCAATTGATCAATATAAAGAAATTAAATAAGAAATTATCTGCATTGATTAAATTTATAATAATAAGATACGTAAACATAATAACTTGTCACTACACTTTTTGACATACTGAAATAATTGAAGAAATAATTATGCATCAATCAGGTCGTGGGCACTAACGTCGGATTTACGAAATGTAATCCTTCTTTTAAAATCAGTTTCCAAACTCTAATCAGTGATAATAAATCCTGCACAGAAATTGTCTGTATACAAAAGAAAGTATTACATATGCCCTGTGATTCTACTACGTGTGAAATTACTGATATGCATTCACATCCCTACTTTGCCATATATATTACCAAATAAAATGCAGGATGTTACGGACACGCACTACTAATTTGTGATACTGTATAACCATACACTTCTTTAAATTTTAATATTACTCCATTCATAGAATATTGTTGTTTACAATCCTAGCTTTTAGTGCGACAGCATCTCGCAGTTACCTTATTTATTAATTAGTTTGAAACAATTTTAATTTTCAACACTAGCGATCTAAAACTACAAAAAGAAATTTTTTTTTTAAAAAAAAAAACAGGAAATTTTTATAACGACTTGGTTAAACAAAGCAAGTTCTAGTACATCAATGGATGTTATACTAAGGAATTGGAATTTGACAAGAAATCTTTGGAATTGAGACTTTTTGTAAGTTTCATTATCCTTTATTGGCTAGGGGGTACTTATATTACGATAGATCATGCAAAAAAAAAAAAGGATTCAATTTTGATGATATGCATAGTGGGATTACTATTGGCTGAGATATATAAAAAATAATAAATTTAGATTCCCACTCTGCTGAACCAGTCGTTATATAAAACCTCTATATAAGTTCGTATGATTTTAATTAATAATAATACATTTTTGTTTAAATATAAGCAAAATAATCATTCCTTCACTATGAGAAATATTTGCTTTTTGATTAATTTATTGTTGATTATTTTAACGTTAAAAAATCAATTAATGATTATTTATGCTTATAAGGAACCTTTGGCAGAATTATGGAATATAGATGAGTCTGAGCTACCCAAACTATTAAGTTTTGAGGAGTACTTATGTGATACAGTAGATACAATTATAAAACCATTTTTGGATGACGAAAGCTTTGGTGGAACTTCCGTGGATACAACACAGAACAAATTAATTATCTATACCGTAAACAACTCTAAGGTCGAGCCGTTAAAATTATTGCCTGAAGTAAAGCCATACGTAGATTTTTTACAATTTAAAGAGGTATCTAATCCCACAGCCAATTTAAATGCCAAATTTGATCGAGTAGTAGAATTATCTGAAGAGTATGAAGCATTCGGCGCATTTATCTTTACGGATGTATCACGTAATAATGTCGTCATAATGATATTTATTGAAAATGAACGTAAAAATAAAAATTTTTTAAGGGCAGTTGAATCTGAATCATTAAATCCGGTTATAATTTTTATGAATGACACAAATCAACACGCTTCAAAACCTCAAAAAAGAGATCCACATCCTATTATGTTACTTGGAGAAGGAATATATAATAAAGATAATGAAGGATGTACAGTTAGTTTTTTCGCAAAAAATAAAACAAACCCAAATCAAACTTACATGATAACCGCAGGACATTGCACTTTTGATGAAGAGGAAATTTTTTATGACGGAAGGAAAATTGGTAAAACAATTTTAGTAAACACTGATCCGTTTGACTATGCCTTAATTGAAATAACAGATGGCAACATTAAACCAACTGCAATTATAAAGAATACAAAATCGACGAGATATAAAGATCTATTTATCAAAGATGTTAGAGTTCCATCTTGCATTGGTGTTCATTTATGCAAGTCTGGCGCCTTATCGCAGGTTACCTGTGGGCGTGCAATATCATTAGATGTGTATTATACACTATTCGGGGAAATAAACCGTTTTTTTTTGTCAGATTTGTTCTCTATTGAAGGTGACAGTGGTTCTCCTGTGTTCAGTTATTCACCAGATTTACGCACAGTAATTTTAAGTGGTATAGTTACTGGAGGTGCTCAAATGACAACTGTTACATCAGTAAAAGAAATTCTTGAGCATGGTAACTTAGAGCTTGTAACGCATGCTGGTCTCAACAATGCTTATAAGGAACCTTTGGCAGAATTATGGAATATAGATGAGTCTGAGCTACCCAAACTATTAAGTTTTGAGGAGTACTTATGTGATACAGTAGATACAATTATAAAACCATTTTTGGATGACGAAAGCTTTGGTGGAACTTCCGTGGATACAACACAGAACAAATTAATTATCTATACCGTAAACAACTCTAAGGTCGAGCCGTTAAAATTATTGCCTGAAGTAAAGCCATACGTAGATTTTTTACAATTTAAAGAGGTATCTAATCCCACAGCCAATTTAAATGCCAAATTTGATCGAATAGTAGAATTATCTGAAAAGTATAAAGCATTCAGCGTATTTATCTTTACGGATGTATCACGTAATAATGTCGTCATAATGATGTTTATCGATAATAAGAGAAAAAATGAAAAATTTTTAAGGGCAGTTGAATCTGAATCATTAAATCCGGTTATAATTTTTATGAATGACTCAAATCAACACGCTTCAAAACCTCAAAAAAGAGATCTACATCCTATTATGTTACTTGGAGAAGGAATATATAATAAAGATAATGAAGGATGTACAGTTAGTTTTTTCGCAAAAGATAAAACAAACCCAAATCAAACTTACATGATAACCGCAGGACATTGCACTTTTGATGAAGAGGAAATTTTTTATGACGGAAGGAAAATTGGTAAAACAATTTTAGTAAACACTGATCCGTTTGACTATGCCTTAATTGAAATAACAGATGGCAACATTAAACCAACTGCAATTATAAAGAATACAAAATCGACGAGATATAAAGATCTATTTATCAAAGATGTTAGAGTTCCATCTTGCATTGGTGTTCATTTATGCAAGTCTGGCGCCTTATCGCAGGTTACCTGTGGGCGTGCAATATCATTAGATGTGTATTATACACTAGGTTACGGGGCAATAAACCGTTATTTTTTGTCAGATTTATTCTCTATTGAAGGTGACAGTGGTTCTCCTGTGTTTAGTTATTCACCAGATTTACGCACAGTAATTTTAAGTGGTATAGTTGATGGAGGAGGTACTCAAATGACAACTGTTACATCAGTAAAAGAAATTCTTGAGCATGGTAGCTTAGAGCTTGTAACGCATGCTGGTCTCAACAATTTGTGAAATGTATGGGTTATAGCAATTCTTGAATATTATTACTTAATCAATTTTGAATGTTATGGTTGGTGAGTGCTAACTATTATGAATTGATCTTCCTTGTATATCATGGATTGAGGTTCTTGAATATTGTGAGTTACATATTGTTCTGTGATATTTTAAGTTTGACATGTAATATTTCACTTAGCGCCCGTTTAAATTGGAAGTTCTGATTTTTTTTATATTTATTATGTAAACTCACTTTGGGATTTTAAGTTTTCAGCTCACAATTTTGCATATATACATACGCTCTAACATCAATATAACTCTAAACCTAATCTTTAAATTTAACTTTATAAATCGGTGATAATTTATCCACTGGTTAAAATTATTTATATTCTTTAAGATCATATAGAATACTATCCGCACGTAACAATTTACAGGTTTATGAAATGTTTGACCCATTTTATCAGTTTCTCGTTAGCAAATATATTAGTGATACGGGCCAGCCCGGTCAACTGGGCAGGCCAACCAAATTAGTAAAATTTTTAGTCAAACCAAAATCACAAAAACATCCTATAGAACGAACTCCTATCGGTAATTTCGGTAATTTTTCGGTAATTTTACTGAACAAATTACATATAGCCAAAAATTCCCGACAACCATGCTCGTGTTTTATGTTGGTTAACTGTCTACTATCTCAAAAATTTCCAACATTACACTACCTTTTAATTTTAGGTAACGTTCCCATAAAAAATTGTTCATTCCCAGTAATTTTGACCAATCAAAATTTAAGATCACGTGTCAAACAAACGTGTTTTGCTAAGTAAAAAAAAATGAAAGCCAAGAAACCGTGTTATAGTTAGTGATAGGATTAGAACAATATGGCGCCTATTAGTAAACCATCACAAGGCAATTTTTAATTATGCCGCAGAAGACGGTTTCCTAATTAAATATTAGTTATTCTTGTTTTTTTGTAAAAAAAGTGGTGTTGTTTCGAATTTTACGTTACACATGACCCTGAAATTCTATTGGTAAAAATAACAGGGTGAACAATTTTTTGTGGAAGAGCTAGGGCATCTTTCTTTTCGTAGATTCTGACTTAATGCTAGCCGAATTTATGATTAAATCCAATCTAATTTGATAACTTAGCCAAAAGTTCTGGCAACTTACATCAATAATCTTAATAACTTACCATTTAAAACCCTAACTTATCTTTAGTCAGCTCGGCCGGCCTGTGAAGGTGTGGGTCGATCCTTGACCTGCCTGCTTGCCCAGCTGATGGGCCGGAGTCAGCCTGTATCACTAAAATATATCCATTCACATATAGTGTTGGCAGACAAACTTAGAGGTTTCGTCACAGATGAATGACGGAACTTTATTTTGACTTTTAACAAAAAAAATTAAAATGATGAAATGGCAAAAGGTGGCATAACTGATAAAACAGGTGATAAAACTGCTAAAAGGTGGCAAAACTAGAAAATGATAGCAAAACTAGTGAAAGATAGTAAAATTTTTTTTTTTTTTTTTTTTTCCCACTTAGGCTGTCTTGCCAAAATTCTTTATTACTGGGCATCGATTGGTTAGAACGACACCAAACAAATTGTTATACTACATAATTTTAGACATGACATCCTGCAGTTACTTCAAAGAGCACTTACAAGTGACCGGCCACACTGAGCAGACACGTCCCTTTGAACACATCGCGATGCATTTCAACTAGAAATTACATCTATCTCAGAAAGCACTATCAGACCACTGCTCTACAATAGGATATCATCAAACTGATGACATCTTCTCATAGGGAAGTGAAAAAAAGAAAAAAGCATTAACACTAATACTAATATTAAAGGCGAAAGTAAAATAGATGAAAACTAATACTAAAAAAAAACAAATACAAAGACGAAAGGGTAAAAAAAAAGAAAAAAGGAATCTGATAGGTCATAATTATAAGCCTGTGTCGGGCTTTAAAAAATTACATATTAATAGAATAAAGAAGCTCTGTATCTAACTCTACTCTAATAATATATGTATCTATATTGAAAAACCTATATAAGAAAAAAATGTCCTAAACTAAACTAGAAAACCTAGACAGAGTAGTTAGAAAAAAGAAACCGTAGTCTTGAAGTATTGTTTGCAGTTCACAAAAGTTGAGGCACGTTACTATAGCAAATCCAGTGTTACCAATAATTGAAGGCGCGTCTTATAACCAGAAAAAAATTTAAGATCATTTACTTTAGAGTTAAGGCGATGCCTGGAATTTTAGTAAGGTTTTATATACATGCAAAATTTAGCAAGAAATTGTTTTTGTTAGAGCATAAAAGGCAGTTTTTTATGCAATTTTTTGAGGAATAGGCGATTTTTTCAAAATGAACATTTGTTTTGAATTTTTCTGATCATGTTACATTATACAAAATTGTGACTTATTATTGGCTGATCGTGTCAGAAGATCATGTAACTATGCTCTTGATTGTCAGTAATGCTGGGACTTTTACGTTATCATTGTGTGTTTTAGATACACCATTTCCGTATGTAGGATCTCTTACTCATTTTACTCTAATGCATCTGACTGCAGTCTACTGGTTCATTGGTAACCTGGGTTGCTCTGAGCTACACTAAATAAACAACACATTATAAACATCTGCTTTGGGAGATAAACAATACTAACTGTTTTGGTGATTTTACATGTTGATCTTTTGAAGGAGGTAAACTGAGACATCCACTTTTTTGACAAATTTCCTCAAAAAAAAGTGGTAGGCAAATGAAACTTTGTGAGTTCTTCCTTATAAGTTTTATAGTTGTATAGAGACTATTTCTAGTTTTTTTAATATGCTTAGTGTTGACCTAATCGTTCTATATTCCTAAAATATCCTTTTGGTTTGGATGCTGAATATAATAGAGAAGTCCACTCACAAGAAAGCTTGACCTCTACAAAAACTGTCCAAAGTAGTCTGCTTCTCAGTTTTATACTCTTTGTACTTTGTCGACAATACACCTACTTATGTAGAACCAAATATATTATCACCTTTTGATGTCTTCAATAATGCTAACTATAGTTCAAATTTTTGAACTTGTTGACCAGAGGATGATCAGAAAGAGTTGTTTTTGTATGTAAACTTTTAGAGTTGATATTAATTTAAAAAGATATATTTCT